TGCTCCTGGAAAAAGAAGCAAATCTTACTGTTGGTGATGAAATGGTAGGGCTCTGGAAAATATTGTTCTTAGCAACAATTAAAGCTATTATCAAAGAAATTAAATGTTCTAGTGACATTGAGAATATGGTGTGGTTGGCTGGGTTTATTATAAGAGAAGAGATATAATATCCACTGTTTCTATAATTAGTTCAATGTTAAGTGAGAGTATCCTGGGGAGAGATGTTAGATTCTGTATCATAGTTAGAAAAGTAAGTTTATTCAGCAGAGATTTAGATGAAACATAAATATTTATAGAGCAGAAAAGAAGTACAAGTGGCAGATGATATTCCCTCATCAACGTGCCAAGTGGTGTAAACCAACAAGAGTTTGAAACATGAATCTGAAGTTATTATCGGAGTTATTGTGAGTACAAAGGCTGATTGAAACACAATAAAGGGTGTTGTTGAGTGGAAAGCACATGAGTGCTGACAAAAGGGCAATGTGTATTCCAAATGCGGCTACAACAAAACAGATTAATAGTAGACTTGGGGTGAGGCAAGGAGGGAAAGGAATAGTGCCGAAAAGTGAGGGGATGGGGACAAAAAGCAATACCCACCAAGCTTTCCATTTGAAATGGCTACTTAAAGATTCCCAAAGCAGGCCCATTGTCTATAAACAGGGAAAAATGAGTCTCTGTTGTTTTTTCTTTGACTTGGAAGATGAGACTGCAAAATATTTGCTTCTTCTCTTCTAACATTTTTGGTTTATTGTTGAGTTAATAAGAGGAAAACTCTTCGCTTGAGTTTCTAGCAGGCTGCCTTCTGAACTCCTAAAAAGTCATTCAAGCATAGTACATGATAATTGGCTTTTCTGAATTCTGCATGGGGATGGTGACTAGGAGAATGGCAGGCAGGATGCATTCATTTATTCGTTGATTTTTTTCAGCAATATAATAAATAAGCTTACAGGAAATCTGCCAAGAAAGCCGCTTGACCCCATTTCAAAAGAGGGCAACCCCTGTTCAGGATTTAGATCTGCCTTTAAAAATACAACCACCATTGGGTTTTGAACCAGAGGTACAGAGGTTAGCGCATGAAATGAAGGATCAAACTGAGGTATGAGCTCTTAGAAGTGACCATGAGATGCTCTTTCCACTCCTGTTATCCCCCTTCTTTGAAGACAAAACACAAGAATCAATTCATCTAGTCCCATAGTTTCTACAGATTTTCTCCACAGTGTCTTGGCTTTTGGACAAATATAAATTAGAAGCAAATGGAGGAAAGACAAACTCTCTATGCTGTATTCCATTGGGCCATTATTTTTAAAATATGAGATCGAACTTGAACTTAGAGCTGAGAGTTCGCCAAGATTCAGTGTCTCCTCTCTTTACCTGTGGTTTCCTCTTTCATTGTAGATTGATGATGGTGAGCAACCGAGCTTTGCTCAGATATTGGTACCAAAAATAGGAGAAAATACAAATTTTGTCCAGCAGGAGTTGGAATGGATGAGAAATTCTGGTTTTAGAGACAAGAGAAATAAAGTACTAACATGTGCCTTTCCCCCCAAAACTTCCGTTGTAGCCATTATTTGTGTGTAGGTCATTTAAAATGTATGTGTTTGAATCTCTCTCCCTCTCTCCCTCAAAAGCAAATGACCATGCATTGTTTGAGAACATATTGGTTTGAAAGATGGCCAGATATAGATACATTTATCAAGCACAACAATTTTATTGTTTTAAAAGTTGGTCTCTGAAGCTACAGCAAATACCATGTGTGATTTACTGTACACAAAAGTGAGCAGAAGTAAGTGTACAACATTTGGATGCCAATTGTCATTTATAAATGTACTTATAACTAGCAGGATCTTATAAATTAGATCACTGTCATCAGCATCAACTGGGAATTTTTGAAAAATGAGTATATCTCAGGCTGATCTCTCAAATTTTTCTGATCAGTCAATTCTGACTGATTTATTAATTTATTAATTTATTAATTTAAAAAGAAAATAAAAGCAATTTGGATCATTGGAATGCATGCCCAGAACTGAGAATTCCTGATAACCCAACTTTTTCACAGAAGGGTAATTGTTTGAAGCATCTATTGCTGCATAGTAGAATACACAAGCTTAAGCTCTTAACACAACATGCGTTTATCATCACACAGTCCTGTGGCTCAGAAGTCGGGCACAGCTTACCTGGGGTTCCTCTGCTCATTGTGCAACAAAGCTGCAGTTGACACGTCTGCTGGGCTGTGTTCCTTCCTGAAGCTGGAAATCTTCCACGCTCTTGTGGTTGTTGGCACATTTCCTTGCAACTGTAGGACTGAGCTGTCAGCTGAGGGTGGCACTCCACTTTTTGAGGGCACCACAGTTCCTTGCCAGAAGTCCCTCCTCTGGGCTTTCTCACAGACTGTCTTACTATATGGCAGCTTATGCCATCAAGCCCAGCAGGATCGTCTCTTTGTACAGTCAGCAAGGATGCAGTCTTCTGTCATGTAACGTAATCCCAGAGGAACTGTCCCATCACCTTCGTCATAGTCTACTGACTAGAAGCAAGCCTCAGATTCTGACCACACTCAAGGGAAGTGGATTATGTAAAGATTTGACTCATTGGGGGTCACCTAAGAGTTTGTCCACCACAAGGGACTAACTTTCAAAGAATTCAGCTAATTAAGTTTACGTAACTAATTGGTGGAACATAGATTTTCTTATTAGTTTTGGGCGGTTTTTCAATAGAAAGAAAAAGTAAAAAAAAAACAACAAAAAAGCCCTTAAACTTTTTCTTTTCTTTTTTTTTAAATGCAGCAGTCAGGATTAAATGCTGGTATAGTGAGCATATGTCTCTGCATTCTATTTGAGATCTTCATAGAATGTGAAAACACCAATTGATGAGTGCTAATTTTCCCCTTACCATGTAGGGAACATATTTGTGCAAAAGTATTAAATAGTTAATTTACAAAGAGCCTCTGGCCCTAACATATGTTGGTAGTTTGGAAAATACTAATATCTGCTAAATTCAGATTTTGGTGATGAGTGCATCTACATTTTAAATAGTTTGCATTGGTAACTGGAATCATTCATGTGCTAAACATTTTGGCCTAAAGGAAAGTTGAATATTTGGTAAAAACCATGGATGGCAATGTAAATTTAAGGTGCTTCTTCATTCTTTGCATTTTCACAGCATCTTAAATATTTTGGAATAGCATTTCGTAACTATATGGAGGCCCCTCAGGAGGAAGTTGGTTATTTTAACTGACCCCTAGCTAAGATAACACATACAAGCCTTAAATTTAGTCGATTACCATATGTTTCCAAATCCCTAAAGTCTCCTAATTTGTCAGTTGGGTAGTTCTTTCCAATATCTTTTTTTTCATGTTTAATTTAAAGTTATTTAATCTTGACACACCAATAACAATCATGGGTATATATGTGGAATATATTTGGGGAAGTATCAGTTTTTCTATTGCAATATTAGTACATTTAAATACAGGTGCTATGGTTATAATTAGTTATAATTCTTCTCTTGCCTCAGGAAAAGATTCTAAAGCTATTTCACCTAATTTGATTTAAATCATTTTTGAGACATTGCACAAACTCAGGTATGCAAAAGCAATATTGCCAGATTTGTTTTATAGATATATTTTTAACAGAATATAGTTTTGTAGTTACAGCTATGTTTCATTATCTCAATCATGACNTTTTATTCTGTTTTATATAGGAGTTCCTGGACATGAAGAGATAACCTATATGGATTAACAATATGGAAACATCCTGAAACGGCGTTGGACTCTCAGTAAATTGACTGGATTCAAGCTTCGCAAACAGGGAAGCTAGTTCATGGACAGTTTGCCAGAGGTAAGTGAGAAGTACAAGTTACTCCCTCAGACTCCTTCGGAGAGTCATGGACTGCAGGGTTGTTAATTGCATTTCAGATGATTTTAATATCCCTTCAGTACAGCTGACAGTTTCTCTTCTCTCCCAAATGTACCCATGTGGATGCCAACATATGGCTAAATGTCTGGCCACTTCATCTTTTTCATTTGCACTTCAGTCAGTTACAAAAGGAGGAAGCAGAGGAGAAAGTACCCACCTCATAAAACTTTTACTGGTAATGATTTATGCAGAGTGGAGGGACGTTGCTTTGCATGCCTCAGAAGCAGAAGGGGTGGCAGATTGACCTGCCCGGGTTTCAGAATGAAACAAGCAGACGAATGATGATGGCCCCTCCTTTATCGAAACGGGGGCAGCAGTTAGGTCATTAATATGGACCAAAGTGTTTGGGAAAAGTAGCCAGCTTTTTCTTCTCCCCTTGAAAACCTGGTAAGGTTGGAAACCTTGATGTGGTGACAGCATAAAAATATTTTTCCGTTGGGAAACTATTGGGAAAGTTGGACTTGTCTCAGTGAACCAGTGCGGGAGAATGAAAGTCTGAGTGACTCAAACAAGTGGCGGTTTGTGAGGTGGGGGCATGAGTTCTAGTGTCTTCTGTAGCTAAGTGTGCCATCAATNTTACACCCATGTTCCATCACCAGTGATAACATGGCCCAAAATATCATCTTGCCTCTCCAAAAGGTCTTGGCAAACTTCGACCTTCCTTTGCTTTTCTTCATCGGTGACCTCCTTCAGGACCATTTTTGCACACGCCTTTCTCATGCCAAGATTTTCAGTTCAGATTTTCCTGTTTCTCTATTGATGTTTACTTGGCCTGCTATGCTTCTCACAGTCAGCCGATGGTTTTGACACACAGTTCAATGAATTTTTGCAATGTTTTCGTCAGTTCTGCTCATTACTGGCCGCCCTGACTCCTCATCATCAGTGACACATTCTCTCTCCTCAGAAAAATATTTAATCGATTTGTACACTGCCATTTTCTTAATGGCATTATCCCCATAAACTTGGACTAACATGTCCCTGATTTCACGTCCACTCTTGCCAAGCTTAACAAGAAATTTAATATTTGTTCATTGCTTTAAGTCAAGCTCAGACATGTTTGCGATGGCACACAAAAACTCACAACCACTCAGCAACACACCGCCACACATCGACACGAACACAGCTGTGAGACACTGATGTACCAAGGTTATGAAACCTTACTGAGCTGTTTGTACAGTGCTGCCAATGTAAGCATATGGTAGCAAGTTCTTGAACTTAATTGCCAGACTTAATTGTCGTATATATGCCAATTAGATTGTTTATTCATTGAGTTCAAATCTTCTATAAACTTGATATTTTAATCAGACAAAATCATCAGGAGGATTAGAACTTGTTTTAGATTTTATGAAAAACAATGATTTCTTCATAGGTACTATTTCTATTTCTCTTAATATTTGCAATCAATGTTTTTTTCTGTCTGTGACTGAGGTGTGTTAAAACCTTCACTGTGATTGTGGGATCGTCTCTTCTCCTGGTTCTGTCATCATTAGCTAAGTATATTTTGGTGTCATGTTGTTACTATGTGCATTCACATTTATATATGCTATCCTTTCCAGTTGTGTGGCAATTAATAGAGATTTCTTCTGCTGCTAGAGCCTTTTGCCTGACTCTATTCAGATATGCGTCTTTTTATTTAGCTCATCCCTGTGGCTAAATATTTTTCTTCATTTCTCACATCTGGCAGTTTCTCCTTCACCTTTTTTCCTTCAGAGCAGTGTATTTGTTATTGTTGTCTTTCTTAGATTTATATCCAACAAATCTATTTCAAAATGGGAGGTATGTCTAGGTTGGATCCATCTGTTAAGTGTCCAGAATCAGAAACCAAACAATAATTACTTACGTAAAGCAAGGACTTACATGATAATTAAATAAATCTTAGTTATTGTCTCTTATTCCAAACAAAACAAGACAAATAAAAGCCATATTGCATTCCTATTTTTAGGAGATCAAATTTACTAAATTATGTCAGAACTAGTTCTTTGTTACTACTATCACTATTACCAACAACATCACTGTTACTATTTCTACTACTAATAATAGCTAATCACTTATGTTTATAGAGCACATACTCTGTGCTAAGTCCTTTTAAACTGCTATATGTGTATTAACTCCTCATGTAATCCTCACACAAGTACTATGAAGTGAGTGTTATCATTATGTTCACTTCACAGATAAAAAAGGCTGAGGCATAGGGGTTAAATAACTTGCCCAAGATTACTTAATTGTTAAGTAACAGAAGCAGAATCTGAACTTAGATGACCTGGCTCCGAGCCCTGATCCTCACCACACCACGACTACACGGAGACTCAAGCAAGAGAGGTCCCTACCCTGGACTCCACCCTTTACAAGGACACAAGCAGGATTTTTTCATCCAATTCTCTTTTCACAGACATGGGCTTCATAAGGGCATGTGCCCACCTATATCCCTAACTACCTCTAGACCATGCCTTAATGTTAATTAAGACCTGGAATTCCCTACCTACTACACTCTTTCTCAGGGCCCGCATGGGACTCTTCCCTTGGTGTATCCCCCTGAGAGCAGATATCACTACTGCAGTGCATCCCTGTAAGACCAAGAGTGCCTTTGTGTAGGGTATAGGGTTGGAGCTTGGAGTTGTGGATTAGTGTGTCATGGTGTCCCTTATACATGATGTCCCTTATACAAAGCTGAACTTAGCAGGTAGGAGGGCTTGGAGGGTGGGCTGCAGGGAGAGGGGTGGGCCCCAAGGACTACCTCAGCTTGTGCTACCATGTACCAGTAGAAAACTCCAAGGCATCTGAGAATTCTAAGTTGGAAAATAACCTTATAGGCCATCCTGAAGGTGATAGATTGGCTTTATTTAGCAATCCATTAGCTTGATTTGTAACTTTTATGTATTCAGTCATTTGAAAGTGAACCTCCATTCATTGGGTGGCTGTAAATGCTAAGAGTCAGCCTGTGCAATGTACATATTGCCCATTTATAGACTTGCCTGTAATATGGATGCTTCGTTAATCCTTCCTCCCACCAAATTTAAATAAATTACTCTGGAATATGGGTCCCTTTTACTCACTGCTCTTTGAGGAAGTTCTGGTTTCTTCAGGTTTAGGGTTGTGTGTGACAACAGAGGTTATATTTGACACATATACTATTAACAGTGAAGCTCAGAGAATTGCTGTTCATCTGTATGTGGCCCAATGGAGTCAGAGTCTGTGACATTTAGTAGGCATTCCAAAAATGCTCTGGATAAGGGAGGAATAATAACCACCATTAGTTAATGATTTGTCATATGTCAGAAGTAGTGCTTTTTGCTTTCCACAGGTTATCTCATTTACTACTGACAACAATCCTTTTAGTTAAACACCATTACTATACCCTTTTACAGATGAAGAATCAACTCTGAAAGTAACTATCTCAAGGTGACAAAGTCAGCGATTGACAGCCTGGATTTGAACTAAGCCCATAGGACGTAATAATGACTGCAGATGATTGTAATGTTATTTTGCCTCTCAAAGAATGAATAAATGAAAAAAAAAAGTCATGATTTTCCTTAAAGTGAAGCTTATTCTGAAAACATGGTTGAAACAGTTGTGGAATGTACATAATCATATGCCCTGAACTTCTTCTTATGTTGATGATTTTCTAGGCCAGTGGGCTTAATGTCGGCTAGAGTACTGTAAGCATGTTTAAATTTAGATTTTGTTTCAAAACATATTAGGAAATAGATTGTGAGAGTGAATGAAAGAAAGATATATACTGACATCCATTCCTTTTTAGAAATCAATATGTTAACACATTTGTTATTGAGTTATATGAATTGTGATTATTTATCATGTCTCTGATTGAAGGCACCAGATAGGATATTGCCATTATAAATATAATAATTCAGTTCTTGATTGTATGTTTATGTCGAAAGTCCCACTGAATTTTGAAATGTTGATGACACAAATGCAATAAAAGAACTCTTTGTTCATTTATGTCCAGTAAAACAATATTAGAAGATGATACATTTCCCCTTCCTTATGGTTGGCAATTTGGGCCTCATGATTCTGTATTAAGTTTGTTATTTTTTGGTATGTAAATTGCAAAGATTCTGTCTTTAGCATTAGTGTCTCTGCTTTGTGTTTCATTGTGTTCACACTTAGA